ACTTCCTTAAATAATTCCCTCTTGAAGACAATACGCGAAGGGCTCCCACTGGAACCCTAGATACATGATACATCACTAGTCGCTTCAAACTCAAGACTCTAAATAACTCCGAAATCAAAACGCTATACGCGGAAACCACGGAACACCATCACCGAACATCACAATGTCCTGCCTCTACCACTGATTCTCCTACTCCTAGCACCATACATATACAACAATACATTCCTCTGAGCCTCATAATAATTCTTCATTGTACCCAATGCGCAACTTCAGTGTATCCAGACACTCACTCGGAATACAAAGAAAGCGCTGATGCTTCATAACACACTGATGATCCTCCGGAATCCTTTCCTCTACTGCTCAGAATCCACGCAAGAATACACATACCAGCCCGGAAGTTGGCTGCTCGATGATCTTCTAACCACCCCAAAAAAGCATAAACAATCCATACTTCGACCCAGAAGTTCTCGACTGCCCATACTGTCATCACGAGCCTTCCACTTGAAACGACCCTGACCACCGCCAGATTCCTGTCCATTCACCACCTGCCGTGGAGACGCCCATCTCTCTCTCAGACATATACCACCTGCATTTTCTCGCTCTGCAACTTTCCCTGATCACCAATGACCTTGATCCCATGAATTCAAGCTGCAGGTTCCTGTATTCAACCCCTAAGCGCTCTTGCACAAATCTCTGGTTCCCTCAATAAAATATCCGGTTCTCCCCCACTAGGGTTCGAACCGTCCCCAATTGGCACACAACCATCCTGCCAATTATTTTTACCAGCAGAATCGCACCTGCCCCTGGCAAGTGTTGCGCAACGCCCGAAAATCCCCTTTAAGGAAATCAATCAATCTCATGGACTCTAAACCTCAGATGAAATCCTCAAGAACTTCTTGTCACGATGGCCTCTAGTCGTTCCAGGTCTCGTACCAATCCAATACCAAACAACTCAACTGTCCAATAACATCACTGACCCATAGACTGAACCACGAATCATCATACTCCCCCACCTCGACTCATCAACCAATGTTCCAACACATGGATCGTCCCAAGAACAGGGACCTACACCCATATTCAATACCCAACATAGATCGAAAACCACTGCACTGATAAACTCTACTGGACTCCCCACTGATACCACTACAATACGCCCTACTATACTCAAATAGGTGTAACGTGGTCCTCGACTATCTCAGTCCTAACTGACTATCTGCTCATGATAATCAGTACCTCGCGGCACACATGCTACCTGATACTCTGGAGGAAAATCATCATCAATGACAACCTGCAGGGTTTACCCCCAAACCCAAAACTTAAACATCATGCCTCTCATGTTTCGCACACGAACATAAATAACACCACTCAGGTCATAGAAGGTGACATCTCCTCTATTGATTGATTGCTCAACTCAGACCGAAATTCTCCCCTCCCTCTGACTCCTTACCAAAATACTCTGAAAGGCTCTCAACCTCCCTCTCAAAGGACGCCTCTTCGAACTCAATCATGGACCACAGGCCTAAAACCCATAGCATCCAATCTCTACCTCATCAATCGAGACCGGATAACCGGAGAACCATAAGCATCATTCACTACGAACCATGGTACCCATCCCATGACATCTCTTCTCAATATTCTCTGGTGTATGGTACCCGAACCATAGCATCAATCCTTCATCTGCTCCGATGTATGGTACTCGAACCATAACATCACTCCTCAATCTGCTTCGGTGTATGGTACTCGAACCATAGCATCAATCCTTCATCTGCTCCGATGTATGGTACTCAAACCATAACATCACTCATCAATCTGCTTCGATGTATAGTACTCGAACCACAACATCAATCCTTCATCTGCTCCGATGTATGGTACTTGAACCATAACATCACTCCTCAATACGCTCATTAGAAACTTCAGAATACCCCCTGTATCAAGTATGGGTCCTCTGCTTTCAGTAGTACGGGCCCATACTACCTACCACATCTACCCATACTTTCCACACGGACTATCCCAGAGCTCCTAAGTAGCTGCTCGACCTTCTCGATCCCCAATTCCGTCGCGTGCTTGCTCTCTAGCGAAATTCTCTACTCTGCCAGCGCACTCATCTGGCTACAGATATTCCTTAGGCTCTTCCTAGATTCTCACACTTCTCTGTCATCAGCTGCTGAAAAGCTCCTAATGATGCCAACCATCTACCTCCTGAATATCCTCATATTCGCTTGGTAGCTGACTCCCATCATCGAGAGTTCCACAAAGCACGAAGCAAGCAGCATTCGAGCATCGAAGGATATATATAACTCACTCTGGGTAATAACTCCGCTTGCTCAGCTCATCCCCGAAAGCACCACCGAACTCTGCAACTCTTCCCCTCGCGGGTTTTAACTACTCCTTTGCTAAGTACCACGGTACTTATCTAGGTATCTCCCCTAGATTACTCTTCTACTCGAATCCCCTCAAGGATTCCAACTAAATATTCTCACTCATCACATACTCAAAAGCACATCGCATAAAACAACAATCCCTAGGCTAAGGCATCACAAATCAGGCCACTCTAGTCCTAAGATATGGAATACCTAGCCTGTCCCTAGCATGCAATAATATCTCATAAAGTGCATCATAAATATCTCATAACACAAAAGTAAGGGTATTTTGGGGATTCGCCGTTCGGGTGCTGGCTGACCGTACACACCTTCCACTCTGCTTGTCTCCAAAACTTCTTTTTCTTTTTAGAAAATTTGTAGTTTTGGTTGTAAAATTTCTCAAATCCTCGGTTTGAGTTCAAATACGCCCGAAGGTGCATCCGAATCCCTCAAACCAAGGCTTTGATACCAAAATGTAACACCGTAAATTTCAAAACGAATTTTTCAAATTTTTATAAAACATAATTCATTTAATATTCAGAAAACAACCATTTTCAATCATTCAATCCAAGTAATACAAAATCCCAAGATCTCAAAATCATAAATCGCGTGCGTGTGTACTGATCAAGTCGGGACCTTCCCGCGGTCGTCACTAGTACCTGAAACAATTAACATCAAACACTGTAAGCACAAAGCTTAGTGAGTTCCCCAAAATACCACATAAAACACATATTAGCCACTCGAGGCTATAACTCTGTGGGTCCGTGCACCCAGACTCTGTGAACCCTCAGGTTCTAACTCTGTGAACCTTCCGGTTCTAACTCTGTAAACATGCACAGCATAAATCACATAGAAATAATGCAGTACAACACATAACATACATAGCATACAAATACTCTGTCACATAACTCTGGTTACCTACTCAAGGTAAAGTATAGTGAGAAGACTCACCTCGCGTATCTCGGAATCACTAGCGCTCGATCTCCCGAGCTATCGTCCTCCTACAACACAAGCATATCTCTACTTAATACCACCTTGATCCTGGCTGACTAACACTACAAAGTCAAACTAGTCAACTCTGGACAACGGTCAAAGTCAACCCCTGACTGACTCTACTCGCCGAGTCAACCCGATGACTCGCCGAGTCCCCAAGCTCAGAACTTCCCTCAATCCGCGACCTGACTCGCCGAGTCACCCCGAGACTCGCCGAGTCCAACAACTCTGAGTCCACTCGCACCCAACTCACCGAGTCATCCCTTGACTCACCGATTCTCGACTCAACCAGAAAATATTGGGACTCTTCGACAAGACTCGCCGAGTCCAACAACAGACTCGCCGAGTCTAAGGCTATCTTCAACCTACTCGCCGAGTTGTTCATCCAACTCGTCGAGTTCCAGCTCATCTTCAAGCAACTCGTCGAGTCCACCCTTGTGACTCGCCGAGTACCACCGGTCTGAATCCATACAGAAGCGTTCCAGGCCATGCAATTGATCCAAAACATAGATCTAGCCTCCTACAACCCATCCATCACGTAAAGTGGCAAACTTTACGTGAATCCAAAGAGATCTAGGCCTTATACACTTTAGAGCTAGGGTTTGGGACATGATGGCTTCACTAAGCACTCAAACACAGGGACTTTAATGCACTCTAGACCTTCCCCATTCCAGATCTGAGGTAGCAACCTCAGATTTAACCTCCAAACTCCAAAACATACCAAGATAAGCTCCCATAAACCCCAAAATGATGAATCCATATGAGTAACAACCCAAGAACAAGATATTACCTCAAAAGAACGCCCCAACTGCAATGAAACTCGAATCCAAGCGAAGCCCCTTGCTCCAAGCCTCCAAACTCCCAAGATTTCTTCAACAAATACCCTTCAAGCTCCCAAATGCACTTTGATCCACACACACACGAATGCTAAGGGTTTCTGGACTTGAGGATGAGTAAAGAGGCTAGGGGAATGGATGTTAATTTCTTTATATAGGGCTCACCCCCCGAGAATTAGGGTTTTCTCCACTCAGCACCTACTCGCCGAGTCCATCTTTGGACTCGCCGAGTAGGCCACTTGACACGCGACCAAAGTCGCGACCCTACTCGCCGAGTTGCCCTTCAAGATTTACACTTTTAACCCTTCAACTCTACTCTTGATATTTCGGGGTGTTACATGACATTTGTATCCATCGACCAAAAACAACATCTGAAAACATAAATATACCATCAATTGGTATGATTTTGGGATAACAGAAACAAACAAGGGAAAAAATTACATCTGCTTCTTATAATTAGAAACTCAAGCTCAAACTTAGAAAAAAGAAACAACAACATTGAATCAATCAGAAAGCAAAAACTCAAACTCAGATATTCCTTTGTTTGTTATAATCAGCTTCTGGTATATTGAAGCAATTAGAAATCCAACCTGTTATATTGAAACAATAAAAAATCTAACCTAATTATGTTTAGTGAAAATTTTGAAATCACCACAGTAGCAAACAAGAAATTCAAAATCACCACCTACTCAAGTGAGAATCTAGTAAAAGGACGTTCAACAATATGTATTCAACAAACCAAAACAAGGCATAAATCGAAGATGAAAATACAAAATCAAAGCTAAGATGGATTTCAAAATTTGAACCTGAGATGGAATCGCCGACTGGAGGAGTGGACGGAGGTGGAGTTGCCGCCGTCTGGTGTGGCCAGAGGTGGAGTCGTCGGCTGGAAGTGCGGACGAAGATGGAGGTGTGGGCGTATATGGCAACCGATGGTGATTGTAGTTTTCTTTTGACGTTCTTCCTGCGTCCGTTCGGCAAGAGAAGGAGTTGGGTACGATAGATTTTTCTTTTTGCTGATGGCTAAACACACGTATTTACCCTTGTTTGGTAAATAAGTTTAAAACTATACTTATATGGGAAATATTCGTTTATAAAACACTTATTTTGTAAAAACTTGAAATTTTGGAGGAGATTGGTTTGATTAAAATGGAGACCGAAATCATGGCCTATTTGACTATTTTTTTTTTTTTTTTTTTTTTTTTTTTTTTTTTTGAGTGTATATGTAGGATTTGTGTGTGTGGTTTTTGTTTTTGTTTCATGTGACTTTGGTTTTTGCTTTTAAAATTTAAATAACTTTTATTTTTCTTCTTAACTATTCTCCTATCTATTTTAAATTGCGAAAAATATCTTATATATTTATTAATTTAGTTAAATATGATATTTATTGTGATTTTAATTGGGTAGGAGGATGAATAGGAAGAAAAAATAAGAGAATATTGGATTTAGAACCTTAAGTAGTCACCTTAAATTCATGTTTCTTTGGGATTTTTTTAGGATTCTTTTAGGTGTATATTTGTTTTTTAGATTTTATTTCATCAGGTTTTATCATTATGTTTTCCTTGAGATTTTGATTTCATTTGCTTTGCGGGAGGTGGCATGAGTGGTTCCCACTTCCTAGAGATGAATGGGATGAGGTATCACCCTATTTTTTTACATTAAGGAGGAAAGTAAGATTTACAGATTTTAATAAAAAACAACCAAATAATAAAAATTACAAAATATATATAATATAGTAATTTTAAATCACTCCAAAATGGAAACCTAAACAAAACAAACTATATAAATGGTTCAAGTGAAAAAAAAATATAGAGTTGAAATGTAAATTTACCCCAAACTACATTGTACTTTACTCTATGGGGGTGTTTGGGGTATCTTTTCAGAGGTCAAAAGGATTTTTGGGAAAAGTTCCAAAAAATCAGATTTTCCTGATTTTTTTAAAAAGTTAATTTTCCTTCTATAAAAAAAATCCAAAAGAAGCTATTAAAGAGCTTTTACTAAATATCTTTTGTTTGTTATCTTTTCCCAAAAATCTTTTTTCCCTCTCAAAAGATATCCCAAACACCCCTATATCTCATGTAAACCTTCCTTGCGAGAAGCTAGGAACATTACAAGATTGATTTACCACTCCCTCTATCTCATGTAAACCTTCCTTGCATTTAATGTCCGGTCGATATTTGCCATATTAGAATACTAGGTGTTGACAGTTTATACCAACTCCAATCCATCTGTATATCAGCAAAATAGAGGCCAAACTTCCTCCAATCTTACGTCAAATCCAACACAAAAATGGTGATTTGCTACAATAACACACTAAAAATAGCGGCCTCCTGTTTCATCCTCCACTATCTATAAAAATTATATAATATTACTTATTTTGTATTTTGCTTTATATTATAAGATTATTTGGAAATTAGAATCAAAATTTTGGTATTCTAATCTTTTAATCAAAAAAGCATGAAACCAACGCTCATTTTTACTTTTAATTTGTTATTTTTTTATACGAAAAGTAAAAATATAAGATAAACGTAACAATTATGAGCATATATGATTAATAGATTTTTGTAATTTTTAATTTTAATGAATATTTATAATTGACATTTGTCAAAGAAAATAAAAGTAATATGATTTGTTTTTAGAAGTATGTTATTTTATGATTAAAATATTGAGTTATGTTTTTTGATGTGGTGATTTTAGTGTGTGGTTGGAGGCAAAAACTTATATGGTGTTAAAAACCCACCATTTTAGTGTTGTTTTTAATGTTATGGTTGGAGTTGGTCCTTGACATTTTTCAAGTTTTATTCGGTTAATTTTCATCTAAACGGATTTATCTTTTTCATGTTCTTTCCTTGGCGACCAATTTAAGCTTAGAATATTTTTTACGTTGGTCTTTATGTATTTATTTATCACATGTATATACCATTTAACATCATTTTCTAGTTTGTATACATGATGTCATGATCATAGAATAATCTTGCATTGTACACATATTTTTATGGCACAATTTACTTCGGGATTTATGTTTGAAATCCGAAGCTTGGACTTGAAGATACCGACGGGAAAATTTGATAAAAGTTTCTTGGATGATTAAAAGAATAAGAAAGAAAAAAAATGTTAAAAGAATACATGACTTTAAACTTGATTCAAGTTGTTCAGCATAGTCAATGAATATAGTTTTTCAACAACATTTTTTTAGTATTTAATCATTATTTTCATATTCTATAAAAAATAAAAGATTCACTTTCGGACATCTAGTAGGCATATTTTGTCAAGAACTTGTTGAGAAATATAATTATTTCTTAACAATTTCCAATCATAAACTTGATAATAATAAATTTGGTTTTCTAACTTTGTAAGTTTGGTGCACAATGTAGCTCTTTTAAAGTTGAATAAAGATTAAGGAGCAACCGATAATTACTCCAAAGTCGGTGGTTGTATGAAGTTTTATGCTTGTAGGGTACTAGAGCAAATATGGAGAAAGAGCAAGGTTATCGGAGTCAGAATGAATAGTCTAAGGACTACATGTGAAAATTGTTCAGCTATATGTTTGTGTCATCATGTTAGCTTGGGTTTGGATTAATCGGTTCTTTTTTCTTCACAAACCTAATTTTCCCGTTTATGTTCTCTTTACATTCTTGTGATATTCTTGCAGAAACTTGAAGTTTGTAACTTTTGAGATGTATAGGTTAGAGTGAGTTTTTTCTAGTTTGTAATTTTAGGGATAATGTCACTGTAGCACATGAAACTTTCATCAATTGACTTATTTGGTCCTTAAAGTTTTTTTTTTTTTTTTTGGTACATTAGGCCAGTAAACTCGTAAGTGATCTTTTAATTACACCATTTGATCAACTTTTAAAAGGTTTCCCGGTTACAATGCTCATGTGGCACGCTGATGTGTCCAATAAGCTTACGTGGGAAGCTTATGTGTCGAAGTAGTCCAGTTGTCGATATAGGCTTATTAATTCAAACCCTCATCCGGACCTCCATTAAATCTTTACTTACATTTCTCTGAAAAGTCAAAGACTTCTCCTTCGCCGACTATTTTCCGTCCTGAAGAAGAATGTCTTCGAGCTCATCGACGTCAAGGAATCAGCTACAAGTCACTCATGTTCAGTCGCAAGAAGGGGTAAAGGTTTTTGATTGTGTCGTTCCAGCTAAAGAACGAACCTGTTGGAAGATAACAAACCCTGGGAAGCGATTCTAGAATTGTCAGAACAGTATGGTAGGTCCCGATTCTCTTGATTTTGATAAGTTAGTATTTTATGGTTTGATGTGTTGTTTCTTTCTGTAAAGACGATAATGATGTATTTGTATTTTGTTTCATCTGTTAAAAACCCTAATTTTATTTTCTTCTTGACGATCACTGTGAATAAAACCCATTTCATTGGTACATTAAAGGTAGCTGATTTGTGATTGTTAGTCAAAACCTAATTTTATTGGCTTTTTATAGACTAGGTTGAGGAAATGTAGCTTCTTTGAATGGAAAGATGAAGAACAGGCAGACGGGTACTACAAAAACCTACTATATTCTCTGAAGCAGAAACTGGATGCCAAAGATGAACTGTCTGAGATGAAAAAATTGAGGAGAATGATTGTTGAAGTGGAGTTTCTGCTGTCACAGGAGCAGTATAAGGTGGCAAAGAGTGAGAAAGAAGTTCATGATGCAAGGAAGGCAATAGGCAGGTACAGGATGATAGTTGCCCTGGTAGTTAGTTTGGTTGGTTAGTGTAAGATTTAGTTTTTTTGGGATCCCTTGTATTTTTTGTAAAGGCAGACTAGAAAGTTAGTAATGATGGGCATTTTGTATGTATTGAAGCTACTTTTAGTTATAAGTTGGGGTTATTAACCTTAATGTGTAGGGCATTTTGTATAATCAGATGTAAAAAAATATTCAAAGTCCCAATTGTAGGGCATTTTGTATAATCAGATGATGTTAATCAAACATATGCATGGTCTGTATTCCTAACGAATATATTTAATTAGATTGGTTGTTGTGCATGTTTTAAATTTGGGAACAAATTAAGAAGTGGTCCATGTGGAAGTACACTATGTGTATGGGGACCATTTGTAGTCAGTGAGTGTTTTAATAATGAAAAAATAGGACCTGTGAAGCAATTAAAAAACCATATCCGGGACCATATAAAACATCCCCATGCATGCACATTATTCCAATTTTTTTTCTATGCATAAATATTCAAAGCCAAATGTCATGATTTTACTTAAAAAGGCAACATACTTTCATACTTCATGTCATACATAAATAAATGACCAACATACCCTTTTCTGTCATACATAAATAAATGACCAACATACCCTTTTTTGTCATACATACTTAAATGACCAAAATACCATTTTCTATCATACATACTTAAATGACCAAAATACCCTTTTTTGTCATACATACTTAAATGACCAAAATACCTTTTCTTGCATACATAAATAAATGACCTACATACTCTTTTCTGTCATACATAAATAAATGACCAACATACCCTTTTCTTTCATAAATACTTAAATGACCAAAATACCCTTTTTCTTTCATACATACTTAAATGACCAAAATACCCTTTTCTTTCATACATACTTAAATGACTAAAATACCCTTTTATGTTATACATACTTAAATACAAATTACCAACATCCTATTAAATAAACTTTAAATATAAATTACCATCATCCTATTACATAAGCTTTAAATCCAATTTACCATCATCCAATTACATAAACTTTAAACACAAATTACAATAAACACTAATCAATTACAAGAGCTTTTCCCTTCGAATTTCCTAGATCATCAACACCACCAATTGTTTTGCCTAATTTCAGCTTCAATATTCTCTCTGACTTTCTTCTCCTTATCCTCTTCAAAATTTCTGAAATTGGCCTAACACTAATCTGCTGAATTTGGATAACAGGAGCAACCTCCTGGACCTTACCATTATCAACTTAGGTATTAGGATTAACCTCACAAACCTCCTGAACATTTACATTATCAACTTGGATAATAGGATCAACCTCCTCAGCCTCCTCATCTTGAACAGCTTCCTCAACCACAACAGCTTCCTCACCCATAACACCCTCATCACCTTTATAACATCTACGTGAAGTAAATTGTATATAATGACTAAAATCCCCTACACTACTAGATTCAACATCAGTAAGAGCAACTTGCATATCATTTTGAGTAGTATCCATCTCAATTGGAGTCATTTCAACATCTTAATGTTGTTGTGGTTCACTTGTACTACCCTATATGGCGTGATATAATTATGTTAGTAACAAATTATATGTAATTAATTTTATATTTTAAATTGTTTTACCTGTCCTGCATTTTGCTTCACACAAACTTTTTGTTTCTTTTGTTTCTTCACATTTAACTTTTGGGGCCTTCTCTGTGGACAAGTGGCCTTGTTGTGACCTATCTCCTTGCAAATACTACATCTGATTTTCTTTCCAGCCTTAGAAACCCTGTGTGTTCCTATATTCTCTATAGTGGATTTCTTCCTCTTAGTAGTTGGCCTACCAGGCATCCTTCTATTAATAGGAGGCAATGGTGGAGTATAGTTTGTCTTTGGCCACATGTCATTGCTATTCATGGGAGCAATTATGTAGTTGTATACCTTCCTAAATGTGGTTGTGCTAAACATGTTGTCAACATAGGCTTCTACATCCCTATTAAGAAAGGATATGCTAGCTACAGAATGAGCACATCCATATCCATTCAATTGCCACAACCTACATGAGCATGTTTTCCTTTCTAAGTCCACCTCATATGCATCTATTGCTCCCCTTACCTCAAACTGGTTTAATCCATTTGGTAGTACCTGATAATGCCTTTGAGATTTTTTAAGTAAATTCACCTTATCCCTTTTGTCTGGACAAATATGATTTCCCCATTGTTGTCCCTTTAATTTCATGTTGTAGATTATGTCCATCATGTATAATCTTATCTCCTCTAACATGGTTATTATGGGCTTCTTCCTGGCATCTACTATTACAACATTAAAACTTTCTGAGAACCCATTTTCAACTGCATCACAACACCTTCCAGTTTGAAAGAAAGCTCTTGACCATGTTTTAGGATCTTTCTCCATGAGATATTGATGGGTATCTGGGTTCAATGTCTCAATTTCTTTCATCACAACTTTAAAAGCATGCTCAGTTGTGGCTTTAGATGCTCTCCAAAACAAGGTATTATATATGGCACCAGTAAATCTCTTCTACAAATTCTGGCAAATATGTCTAGCACACTGCTTGTGCTCTACATATGGCAGCAACTCTTTAACAGCCTATAGTAGTACAAAGGTTTAATTCAAACATTACTATGTAAAATACTAACCTTATGTTGGTCTGACATTAAACTGAAACCATTGCCTAAATTCAAGCTTAGATCATCAATGAGAAGCTCTAAAAACCACTTCCAATTCTGCTTGTTCTCCACATTAACCACTGCCCAAGCAATAAGATATATCTTGTCATTTGCATCCCTCCCAATAGCACAAAGCAATTCTCCCTTACAAACACCTTTAAGAAAACATCCATCAAGACCAATTACCCTTCTACACCCTTCAATCAAACCTTCTTTAACTCCTTGAAAACAACAATAGAACTTGCTAAAATATTTCATTCCATCTGGACCATCCTCCATATCTAGTTTCACAGTTGACCCAGGATTTGTCCTTAAAATCTCATGACCATATGATCATAGCTTACCATAATGTTCAATAAGGTTACCTTCACCAAGTTTCAGTGCATACTTCTTTGCTCTTCTACATTGCCCCAGACTAACTTGGATACCAAACTTGGCCATTACCTTTAACTTAAGCTTCCTTACACTTATTTTCTGACTTTCAACAATCTCTTTGGTATAGTGACTCCCAATCCATGCATATATCACCAATGATCCAAACTTGAAGTTCCTAGCACAATTATGATAAGCTTTTAGTGACTTGATTTGGAAACTCACTTCATCACTCATCCAGGAAGCCCATAATCTAAATGTGCAAGCACCCTTGCTACACCTCACCAAAAGTCTTGTCCTATCATTTTTTTCAAAACACAATTGATATCCATTAGCTACAACATAGTTACACAACATTGATTTTAGTTGCCCTGGACCCTTAAATCTCATCCCTAGAATTTGTTTTTGTTTTTACCAGTGTAATAGCTCATTAAATATGGAATGAGTTTGTATGTTAACTTCAACTTCTCTCCTATTGTCATCATCTACAATGTTGTTTTCATCCTCATCATCAACACATAACTTACTTAAGAAATGATCATTTGATGTCCTATTCATATGCACTACATCCTTATTAAATTCAAAGGCAACATTTCTAAGTTCATCTATGTTGTCTTCATTTTCACCATCAATACAAGACTCATGTTCATCATCATCATTATCTTCATCATCAAGCCACCCATCAACACCAACCCCAATATGATCCACATAAACCGAAATTATACCATCTGTTCCATAAGCATCAAAAATAAAAGCAGCATATTCCACATCATTTGAAATGGGATTAAGCCCTTCCATCAGGGAATTGCCTGGTTCACAATAGTAAAACTTTTTACACTCTTCATGCATGAAACGTTCGAAGAAGTTAACAAACTCATGATAAGTCATAGAAGAAAAGTCAACATCAGTGAAAATGGTTTTCACACCACCAATGTAAGAGAAAGGATTTTGATTAAATACCCCTTGGTAGTACAGTTCCACCATGCAAACAATCCATTAGGTTCCGATTGTGTCATTGCTGCGACTACTTTGTTTCTTTAGCTTGATCACAGGAATGCTTCACAAACCCTAACTCGGTTTCTTTTACAGTTGATTAATGAAGACAACTGAAGTTCGATAGTGTAACGCCCGTAGAACCGGGCTAGTCAATTAGAGACGTTAAGCGTCAAAAATGACTTTTTGATGGAATATTATTTTGAAGGAATAATCTTAACTAAGTTATAGAATATGTTACAAGGTTTCCGTGCATATAAAGAACGCCGAAATCCGAGTTATAACGAAGAAGTTATGACCTGTCAAAGTTTCGCGACAGAACCGGCACGACACAATGTGAAGTAAATAGTGAATTTACGTTAGAACGATATTTAGCCTTAGCAATCTAAACGAAAGTGGTAGATTTCGTTAAACCATGAGCGTGCATAAAAAGAACGTCCAAATTTGACTTCGTATGAGGAAGTTATGATTTTTCTAAGTTTCGACTTAGCGGTATGCAGCCCGAATACTCGATTTAAGACCGAGCGGTTCTTAGCCGAAACAATCTAAATGAGAATCGAAGGTCTCGTTAATAGGAGTAAAACGATAAAAAGATAGGCGAAGACGGACGTCGGATAAAGAAGTTATGATTTTATAACTGATTTTTCCTGTCCCGGCCTACTAAAAATAAATAATAAAAATAAATTCAAAATTAGCCAGCGGAGTCTAAACGAAAGTTGTAGAGCGTAGTCTCACCTACGCAGGGATATAAAGAACGTCGAAAACGGAGTTCGTATGAGGAAGATATGAATTTTTGAAGTTTATTAAATATTTTCGATATTTAATTTAATTATAAATTAACCGATATTATCCATGGGGGGAGTCAGCAATCTGATCCACGTTACGCCCAGCGTAATGTAAAGTTACGCCCAGCGTAAATGGGCTTCCAAACCCCTATAAAAGGGTGTCGAGGGCAACCGACTTCTTTGCTCATTTCTTCCCGTTTTCTCACGTTTTTGCATCGTTTTTCGTGCAAGAATTATCCTGAAGCCCCGGTATCATTCCCGAGCCCTGAAGCAAGTCCCGAGGCCTCGAACATCCTGAGAAGTGCGATTCCCGAGCCGAAGCTCTGCTCGTGAGGAGCCCGGTTTTTGTGAAGATCTTCCAGATCTACCGAAGAATAGTACTTCTACAAGTCGTAGTGCTGTCCGATCATCTTCTAATCAAGTGAGTGTGTGGTTACTTTCTTCTAACGCATAATTATTAAGTATTTAATATAAAATACGTGTTATGTGTATATTTTGTTGTTATATGCGTGAATGTATATTCACTTTCTTCTATCTCATAGATCTGATTTATTCTCTATGAAATACGTGTTATGTGGGTGTGCCTCATTTGTTATGTAGAATAGGTATTGAATGAGAATGCTATACATGTTTTAAACTATGTATAAAAAATATATATTTTTATCTACTAATATGCTGGGTAGAACATGGGTAGATATTTGATGTGTGATAAACAGATGAGAGGCCCCGATGTTGTTGTTGTTGATCTAGGTATTCAGCGAGTATGGATTGGATCAAGAGGTTAGTTTTAGATCCGGGAGTATGGATCAAGTAAAGAGATAAAACTTGTTATTAGTCCGGGAGTATGGATTAAGACTAAGTTAATTGTCCCTAGTCCGGGAGTATTGATTGGGCACAGTTATTGATCCGGGAGTATGGATCAGATCAGGATTAAGGTATAGTTAATTGTCCCTATTCGGGAGTATGGATTGGGTACAATTATTGATCCGGGAGTATGGATCAGATCAGGAGGTTAGTTTTAGATCCGTGAGTATGGATCAGGGGAAAATGTTAGTTTTAGATCTGTGAATATGGATCAGGGGAAAAGGTTAGTTTTAGATCCGTGAGTATGGATCAGGTGAAAAGGTTAGTTTTAGATCCGTGAGTATGGATCGGGTGAAGATCATAGTTTTAGATCTGTGAGTAGGGATCGGGTTAAGACGAAAATTTTAGATACAAGAGTTTAGATCGTGTCGTTGTGAGGATCGATGGGGGTGGGATAAGAATTGTCTTTATATGGTGAAATTGTACAAGTTTGAATGTTTTATATTTATAAATATATGATATAACATTGTGGGATGAAAACCCTATATGCTCATCAGGCTCCCAAGCCTGACCCACTCAGTTTTCTTTGTATCACAGGTATTAATACGAAAACATATTTCACAGAGAGATTTAAAGGAGATATAAATCAATTGTGTAATTAAATGTAAGTTCTGTTTATGCTTATATGTCTGTATCGGAACATGACATCCCGAGATTTTGTTATATAATAAAAATATATTTCTTTAAAGAAATGCTTTGATAATTTTTATCATATTTTGTTTTGGAAACAAACTCCGCAACTGTTTTCTTTAAAAGAGTACTCTGATTTTAAAAACAAACATAAACAAATCGGTCTTTTCTGGCCGTGAAAATGAGGATGTCACAGATAGTTAAAGACGATAGGATTTAAGCTTCTTATATCATTAATTGACGTGGCATATCTCACGTGACATTGGATTAGACAAAAAATATATATTAATTCACATATATTAAAGGTCAACCGGGAAACCTTCTAAAACTTGATAAAATGGTATAATTAAAAGGTCACTTACAAGTTTACTGGCCTAATGCATGGGGGGCTTAGAGGGGGGGCAAAGTGGGCAGCTGCACAGGGCCCATTTTTTTTCATTATATATTTTTATTTAGAAATACAAAATTATAATAAAGATAAGGGCCCTTTTTTTCTTATTCGTCCTGAGCCTTTAAGAATATTTCATTTTTCAGGACCGGCCCTGGCCTAATGTACCAAAAAAAAAAAAAAAAAAAAAACTTTAAGAACCAAATTAACCAATTGATGAAAGTTTCATGTGCTATAGTGACATTTAATTTTATTAAAAAGTTTTTTTTTTTTTTTTTTTTTTTTTTTGGGGGGGGGGGGGGGGGGGGGTGTTGAGTTTATGTATTTTGATAGAACTTCCTATTTTTGTGTTTGCGAGTCATTTTGATTGTAACATGGTTGATGTGGGGACTAGTTTAATTACCTAAATATGTTTTAGATTCTTGTGTGAGAATGTTATCTACTCATATCCATACGATTTATGGTTTTATGATTTTGTTGTCACAATCTTCGTCGACCTTGAGCAATTTTGATGATGAATTGCTAATCAACTGAATGAATCCGTTCATTTAATTGGTTTAAGTAAAAATTAATGCATTTAATGTTGTAGTAAATTTGATGTCGTATTATGAAATCATGGTGTGCAATAACCTTTCGGCGTTTTGTTTGTGCTCTTTGAGACTCACTGAATAAATTTTGTAGCGTGTTAGCTTAATTCAGTTAGCTGTTTTCTCAGCTTAATTGGTTAACTACATGTGTGAAGCACGGGTCAAAACTTTTGACTACCATGGCCATCACACTATCACAGATCTCGTATTATCCATCAAATAGGCACAGATTAAATAAGTGGTTTACGATCCCATGTATTTTCAGTAGGCTCCACAATCACAAAGCAGCCATCGACAAAAATAATAGAAACTGAAATCTCAAAATTATAGGGTCTCCAAATGATTTTCAACTAATTAGGGTTCCCACATACCCCACACATAATTGGCGATCGTTATCTTGGTTTTCTTCCACCAGTCTTCTTTCAATACGTACCCTTGTCTTCCATGTTCTTTCTCTCGTATGGCTGCTAAATTCATATATTTTGACCTTTCGTTTTCGTTCAATAATTATATGAATAAAGTAGTAATCCAATTTTCGCTATAAACCTTTTCTTCCTATAGCTCGATAAAACCACACTTTCATACTGTCTCACACTAACACCTTCTAATCATCAATGGCTTCTAGCAAAACCCTTACGCACGTGTTTCTGATATCGTTCCCAGCACAAGGCCATGTCAATCCACTCCTAAGACTCGGCAAGATCTTAGCTTCAAAGGGTAACCTTCTCGTCACCTTCTCTACCACCAATTCCGCCGGAAGGAAAATGAAGAAAGCCGGTGCTGCTGTCTCCGGTGATCCCACTCCAGTAGGCAACTGTGGGGGCATGATCCGCTTTGAGTTCTTTAATGATGGATATTCAGATGACAGCGATAAGGAAATTCATGACTATGAGGCTTACTTTTCTATGCTTGAGACTTATGGCAAGAAATCACTCATTACGATTCTCAATCGCCTAAAAGATCAAGACAGCCGACCGGTTTCTTGCGTCATCAACAACCCTTTTGTGCCTTGGGTTTCTGACTTAGCAGAAGAGCTTAACATACCTTCTGCTTTGCTTTGGGTACAGTCTTGTGCTTGCTTTTCATCGTGTTATCATTACGCGAATTCATCTGTTCCTTTCCCAAATGGAGAACAACCAGACATCGACGTCCATTTGCCTAACATGCCAGTCTTGAAGTCTGATGAGATTCCGACATTTTTACACCCTTCAACGCAATATCCATCCGTTGGAAAAATTATTGTACAGCAATTCAAGAACTTGTCAAAGACGACTTGTGTATTAATTGAAACATATGAAGAACTTGAGGATGAACTGATCAATTACGTGTCTGATCAAGTATGCCCAATCCTACCAGTGGGTCCGTTGTTCAAAAGTCCGTTACTCGAGGTAGAAACAGCCGCGAATATCACCGGCGACATGATAAAAGCCGACGACTGTATGGGATGGCTCGACTCAAAAGGCACTTCATCTGTAGTTTACATAGCGTTTGGAAGTCATGTCATCTTGAACCAGGAACAGTTCACTGAGATGGCTTCCGGTGTTCTAAATTCTGGTATGTCGTTCTTGTGGGTCATGAGGAGCAGGTTGCCGGAGGAGTTCTTGGAGGCGGCATGTGGGAGGGGAATGGTTGTCGACTGGAGTCCACAACCTCAGGTTTTGTCCCACAAGGCTGTGTCTTGTTTTGTGACTCACTGTGGGTGGAACTCAACATTGGAAGCGTTGTCAACCGGTGTTCCAGTGGTGGCGTTCCCGCAGTATGGGGATCAGGTGACGAATGCTAAGTACTTGGTTGATGAATGGAAGATTGGGATTAGGATGTGTAGGGGGGGTGAGGCCGAGAAGAAGGTGGTTGGGAGGAAGGAGGTCGAGGAGTGCTTAAGGGAAGCTACTTGTTGTGTGAAGGCTGCAAAGATGAAGGATAATGCGTTGAAGTGGAAGAAAGCGTCGGAGGCAGCGGTGGCGGAAGGTGGAATATCTAACCGGAATCTTCAAAAGTTTGTAGATGAAATTAGGGGGTTATAAAGCAATCTGATCGGATGAAAACATCTCTTAAATGTTTAGGACATTGTCGGTTTTAAATCACAGTACTCAGATCCGAGCAATTTGTTCTGTCTAAGGTTCTAAAAAGCTCTTCTGAGGCGCCGGGACAGAATCAAAACTAACAGGGTGCAACATATGTAAAGGATAGATATAACGAAAATTAAAATTATATATATATATATATATATATATATATATCTTTATCTTTACTATATTATTAAGCATATTGTCTATTTCTTGAAAATTATTTACTATATTATTAAGCATATTGTCTATTTCTTGAAAATTATTTACTATATTATTAAGCATATTGTCTATTTCTTGAAAATTAAGAGGTACAACATATACAATATATTAAACATTATACGTATTATACTACACGCTACACGGATCATTTACTACACCCTAATACAAGGAATCCTTAAACACACTGCCATCTAACCTATTCACATCGACACCACCAAAGATGCCCCTTTCCTAACTTCATACGGAGGCGGTGATGAACAGATCAATCAAACCTATGATTTTTTAGATCTGTAACGAAGACTAATGCTACTCAGCATCTTCGATCCTCCACTAATGGCTATCAATGATCCCGAACACAGAGAGGAGGAGGAAGCCGCTGTTGCTGACGACGAAGACACCGCCGCCTTCGATTTTCACCCTAACAGACGCTCTCATGTCTCAGCAACTTCGATCCATAACTATAATGGCTATCAATGATCCTAAACACAGAGACGAGGAGGAAGCCGCTGTTGACGACGAAGACACCGGAGCTCAGGTTGCTCCGATCGTCAGGCTTGAAGCAATCGAGGTCATTAACGGTGAAGAAAAAGAGGATGCAATACTTGATCTGTGAGTATTCGACCTTTATCCGAGTTTACACGTTTGTATGGTTTATTATATAATCCTTTTTCTGATTCCTTCCATTTGAACCCAACAAGGAGTTAAAATACTGGAAATAGCAAACACAGGAATGGCTACTCTATCGCCTTCTTCTCCCCCTTGTATAAAGGTCCAAAATTGAAGAGGAAATTTGAACTTAAATCCGTTTGCTGGTGCATGGTGATGAGGGAAATAGAAAGTTTTGTTCAAACAAAATATTGATCAACATTACATATCTCTTCTAAATTTTATTCTTTTAATTTTGTTGTTTTAAATTATTTTATATTCTATTTCTCAATTGAAAGAAAGAAAGATGGAAATATTCAATAAAAAAGGAATCAACAGTTCAGGAGGAATAGAAAAGGTATATACAATTTTCTATAATTTACTTCATTGGATGTGGTTAATTAATATTCAACTTTTTATTATTAGTTTGGTTGGATTTTAAATAAGAAAACAATGATTTAGTTTAAGAAAAGATAGCTATTAATATCAAGAAAAGTCAAAAGCTACCGCCATTTACATATATAAAGTTTGACAATTGTCAAATATACAAACTAAAAGAATGGTATTTGATGTATGAGATTAAATCGAAAATTCATTGATGTTAAATGAAAATTTTGGAATATGATTATGTCTATTTTAGGGTAGAATAACAAAGGGACAATCTTAGTATATGCAAACGAAGAGAAATATGGTAAACTAATATAAAAATTGATTATTTAATAGTGTTTTTTGATTTATATATTGTTTAAAATAATATACATGCTTTATTATTACTAAGATAAAAAAAAGACAGTATTTTCAAATATGCATTTTAAAATCTTATAGTCTAAACTAAGTAGATTATAGTCTAAACTAAGTAGATTATAAATATGCATTTTTTTTTCTATAGTATATTTTATACGATGTAATACTTTAGTTTTGGATTTTATCTTTTACCTTAAAATAATATAAATTGGATAATAGATCATAAAATCGTTTATCATAAATTGGGATATAAAAAATTACTTTTCATTCTAATTTATTGTAATATTAAAAAGTGATTTTTCAAATATAAAAATATTAAAGAGGTTGGAATGGTTTGGAGCCCGTCACAAGCAAAAGAAAAAAAAAAAAAAAAAGTAATCAGTAATCATTACTCCTTTTTTCTTTTACCTCTACGTCTTTCTCCCTTCTATTTTGTTTTTTTGTTGGTATAAATTTTACTAATTATATTTATGTATAAACTACAAATAAATATTTATTTCTTATATATTTGTTTCTTTTTAAATATTTTGTGAATTTTAGAAAAAATTTAAGTTAAAAGATAAAAGTATGTGTTTTCGCATAAAAGAACCAAATATCTTTCTAATACCCAACTTTATGAATTGTTGTTGTTGTATATATATATATATATATATATATATATATATATATATATATATATATATATATATATATATATATATATATATATATATATATATATATAGAGTGTTATTATTTATTTTTATATATGTATTAGTTTAAATAAACTAATGATATATATTTTATAAAAAACCATTTTATACCTTGGGATTTAAAAAAAGATGGACGAAAAAGAAAAACAATAACATTGTGCAATTTATCTACTTAAAAAAGAAAATAAAATCTAAAAACATTATTTTTGAGTTTTTAACCTAACAACAACACATTTTCTTTTTAACAAAATATATTTCCAATTTCATTGCAAAATATTAAAAAAAAAAATTAGTATTCACATGAAAAACCATTTTTTTTTTACCAAAAGCATAAGAAAAAAATTATCGAAACCGCAAAACTAATCAATGAAATGAAATTATTTGTCGTCCGGGGCATTATTCGGGTACCCTACTAGTATATATATATATATATATATATATATATATATATATATATATATATATATATATATATATATATATATATATATATATATATATTTATTTATTTCCTATTATATAAAACATTTTAAACATTTCTTGAATTTTAAGAGATATCATACCTACAACAACATGTACAATCAATTTATACTTACCCTTTAATACAAAAATTACATTTTAGGTTTTAGAAATTAATCACATTAAACATTAATGCTTCATAATTAAATCAAACCATACTCTTCCATCAATTAAATGACTTTCCTTCTTTATTCCCCCAATCACGTACTGTTATCTCCAACCTTCCCCCATTAAAACATAAATTAAATTTATCAATTAAATGATCTCCATTTTATTATAAACAATTTTTTTTTAAGAAAACGAAGCATTTTAAAATCAATAATTTGTATCAGACCTATAACCATCGTATCATGGTGTTTGTATATTTAGTAGGTTGAAAATCTTAAATACGGGTGAAATACGTTTTTAATGGTTGTTATCACAACATAAGATTTTCCAGAAAGGTAATCATAAAAAAATTTGAAACACACATTGATAAAAAATGAAAGTAAAATATTATAATAAAGAAATAACTGGATAAACATTTACGTTAACTTTATAAAGTAAAATGGTTTCAAGATTACAAAAACAATTTAAAATAGATTGAAAATAAAATCGGATTTAATTATTACAACCCACCAAACCGGTCAAAGTTCTTAAACAAATTAAAATGTTACGATTATTAGAAGTTAACATTATAAATGAGTGATAAATTGCAATTTGCAAGAAAGTGATGCATAAATGGATTTATCAACGTTTGAGGATTGTATAAAATGAAAGAATTATAAATATTGTAACTTGGTTATACTTAAAGGTGTTATGGTTTGATCTGATAGCCATAAAGAAACTATTCACCGAAATAAATTAATCAACACATGGAAACTATTTTTTTGTCGCCGCTTTCCGCGGGCACACCACTAGTATATATATATATATATATATATATATATATATATATATATATATATATATATATATATATATGTGTGTGTGTGTGTGTGTGTGTGTTTGTGAACTTTTAGTGTTTCTTGGGTGTTTTGCTAAAATTTTCAATGGAAACTATATTAGATGGGACCATACATCCCACTTGTTATATAATAGATCTGTTTCTGATTTTACATGCCGTTAAATTTTAATAAAATATCCTCTTAATCTGTATATGTATATAAAAATAAATTATATATATATATATATATATATATATATATATATATATATATATATATATATTCAAATGTTTCTAACAACTATTGTGTTTTTCAATGAACCAATCAGAAATTAGTAAAAACTAAATAATTACTTAAATCAAATAAGGGTAATTTCGGTTTTTTGTATTTACAATTAATGTCGTCATTTAATTTAATCCCGCAATTAAGAAAATAAAATCAATATGTTGACCTAATAATCAAACCCTCCAATTTATTTCATTCGTTCGTCTCTGAAACCATTAATATCAATCCCAGATACAAACCTTTTTCCCTTTTATTTGACACTCCGAAGGGTCAAGCCTTTAAGGATCAAAGAAAAGAGGAGGGTAAGTGTAACATCCCGACTCCCATGTATAATATTTATATATTTATTTATGAGTTGATTAAGCAACTCGATGAGTTAGATGTCCCAACTCGTCGAGTAGAGACGGATTCAGTCATGTGGGTTTTACGACAAACTCGATGAGTCGGAGGGATCAACTCACGAGTTGATGTTGTGAGAGGAAACCCTAATTCTCCGGGATCGGGGCCTATTTAAAGGACCTTAAGCCCTCATTTCCGCCTCACCAGCCACCTTACTCCCCTGTGTGAAACCTTAATCGTCTAGAGTGAATTGATAGAGAGAGAGAGATAGAAAGAGAGAGAGAGAGAGAGAGAGAGAGAGAGAATGGCTAACTTAAGCATTCTAGTGTACTTTTGGAAGAGAAGGGATGAGTATCAAGGCTTGGAAACAAGAAGGCACTGCAGGATCTGGTGTTATTTCATCTATAACTTCTGTTGAAGGTAGAAGAGAAGGGATGAGTATCAAGGCTTGGAAACAAGAAGGCACTGCAGGATCTGGTGTTATTTCATCTATAACTTTTGTTGAAGGTAAAAAGTCCCCACCTTGCTCATTATTTTGATTAGATCTCTTTTTTATCGAGTTTTAGGGATTTTCCATCTTTCCTTGAGACTTTGAGTGTGTTGAGATTACCAAGAGATTAAGACTTTAGATCTGGACCTTGTGAGGTCCCTAGAGTCCAAAGGTCCTAGCTTTATCTAGCTATAGAAGAGCTTTTATGCTTAAGAACCTAAATGGAACTTGTTTTGGCATTTCAAGCCCTAATGCCATGCATGGACGTAAAGCTTGTAGCTTTACGTGGTATCTCAGCCTTGGGAGGCTAGATCTAGAGTTTGGGGTTGTAAATCTGCCTTAAAACATCTGAATAAGAACATAAACTGAAGGGACTCGACGAGTTGGTGGGCTAACTCGACGAGTCGGTTAGGGTTTTCCCCGAAGAGCCTCGACATGAGTAACTCGGCGAGTTGGTGAGACAACTCTACAAGTTAAGTGGGATTTTCGCAACATTGTTGAAGGAATAAGGGGACTCGGCGAGTCACATAGATGCACTCGATGAGTCGGGTCAACATGGACTGTTAACTCGAGTGTTGACTTATGTTAACTTTAGGGTTTGGTCAAGACAAGGATTATGGGGACCATGGAAGGGTAAAATGGTCTTTTACCCATCCCAAGAGTTAGAGAGAGAAAATAGCATTTGGTTTATTTAGAGTTGTGATTAGACTGTTAATTAGAGATAATTATCATATGTGTTAGGCGGAGGCTAGATCGGTGATTCATGTACGAGGTTTATTTGCTTACTTACGAGGTGAGTTTTGTCACTATACTTACCTAGAGTGGTAATCTTTGTGTGACCTGGGGGTCTTATGTGCTTATATTGAGTATTGGGATATCCTATATTATGTATTTGTGATTTATGTTGTGTATTATTCTGAGCTTACTGAGTTAGGACCGGAGAGATCCACCCGAGTTGTGGGACCGGAGGGTTCCACAGAGACACATTGACCGGAGGGTCTTATTCGAGTATAGCCATGAGAGTCTAATGAGATGTGTGTGGTATTTTGGGGAACTCACTAAGCTCCATGCTTACCGTGTTATGTGTTATGTATTTCAGGTACTTCTCAGGATCACGGGAAGACGCTAGCTTGATTGTACACACGAGACGGAGTTATGTTTTGAGGATCTTGGATTGTGTTTAAACAATTTGTGAACATGTGTTTTTGATAAATTGTCATTTTGGAGAGTTGTGAACTATGTTTATGAGAATTATATGATTTTTAAAAATGAAAAAAATTGTAATGCCCCATTCTAAAAGTAATTAATTATGGATTCCCGAGATCAAGAGTAAG